AGTAAAACATAAAATGTTGTGAGCCTTTTATCTTCTAGATGTGATTGTTCTTATCTATAAAGCATCTCAAGTTCCTCTCTTTCCAAACTGTCCATCTACAAACTTGTATAGTGTTCTACTATGTTATCTTTCTTCTGTCTGAACCTGTCCTGATCCAGCTTCTCAAAATATAGCAGTGTTGTTTAGCAGGACCATTTGACTCCAACAAAGTTCCAAAACAATTGCCAAATTTGGGTTGCACAATAATGATGTTGTCTCCATTGTTCCTGTTCCACAGCACCCTCTATTTGCTTCCGCGAAATCCTAATAATCAACAAAAATATGTTAGTTACAGTGTCGTATGCATGATTTTTAATAAGCAGTAGAGTTTATATGGAAAATTACCATGGTCTGATGGGGATTTGACGAGGTCATATAGGGGTTGGAAAATGTCAAAGACAGCAATCTTAAGACCAGGAAGTTGCTTTTGTAACTCTGTTGCAGCTGAATTCATTTTCTTGTTGAATTGTTAGGCATTTGTACTGATCTTTGAAACACATTCACTTTCATGAAATCTGAATAATGTTCTAGCTGTTGGGAGATAACCCAATGGTGGCAATGGAGTAACCCTGATTCTTCACAGCCCAGTGTTTTGCGCAACTAATTCAAGTTTGATTGAAGATGCATATTTGTCCTACTTTCTAAAAGTATTAGGTGTCGAATTCTACAACCAAAATAGTATCATCATACCAATTATAACCTTCGAGTGTAGAGTTTGTTAAGATACGAATTGATGTGGTAATTCTGTAAGACAACATCTTTGGCCTGAAGTGGACTACGAAATTCTAAAAGTATTTTGGCCATTAAATTTTACTGTAATCTGCAATCTGCAATTTCGAACCTGCAATCTTGAACTGTAATCTGCAATCTGTAATCTGGAACCTGCAATCTGGAATTGTAATCTGTAATCTACAATAATCTAAAATATGGAATCTGGAACTGTAATCTATAATCTGCAATAATCTAAAATCTTGAACTGTAATCTGTAATCTGTAATCTGCAATAATCTGAAATATGCAATTTGGAATCTAAAATATTAAACTGTAATCTACATTCTGCAATTTGGAATCTGGAACCTGTAATCTGGAACTCATGTTGTAATCTGTAATCTGCAATCTGGAATCTGAAACTTCTTGCCTCTTCTATAACTTACTGTTGCAATCTGATTTGTTGAACATTTTAAATGTGTAGGGAAATGGAGGTGATCAAATTTGAAGGGTCGCCACAAGTCAATTTGATCTCATTGAAGTTGATGATGAAGAGTGTTTGAACTATTGTAAAAGTTTGAATACATTATGTTTGATTTTATGAAATATATTCATTGCTAGAATATATTGAACTATTGTAAGAGTACTTTTTGAACTATTGTGTTCACATATTTAGAATATTGCTTTATAAGTATGTGTATGACACTACATACTATCTTTAGAAGTTTATTACAAATCTATATATTGATTATTTATTGCAAAACAATATTGGTGTTTTTTAATTAGAAATTGTGACATATAAATATTTTGTAGCCAAAATAATATTACCACACTTAAAACTGTAGCCATAGGAGTGTAAATTGTGGTATGCACATGGGCAAGGACTACACTTCAAAGTGTTGTCATACATTAGATAGAAAAGGCAACACTTTAAAATCGTGGGCAATAAGGAAGCAAAGGCCACACTTGAAAGTGTAGTTGTATGAGATAGAGATGTTGTTATATGAGGTACTGGAAAGCATGGCCTTTCTGCCTTTTAGGCTACGCTTTTAAGCGCAGCTGATAAGTCAACACTTGAAAAGTGTCGCCTAAACTCTAAGGTTACGCTTCTTTCGGCCACCCCTGGAAAAGCGTGGCTTAAAGTCAAAAAGTGGGGCCTTTTATCAAAGGCCACACTTTTTCATAGTTTAGGCCACACTTTTCTAGGGTGGTTGTAGACATAAAATGTTGTAGTGTCTTGTATATGGTGGATTGCTTATCTCCTCTTGTGGATTAGGTCGACTGACCGAACTACGTTAAATATTTCTATTTTATTTTGTTAAATTTCTCATTTATCTTCTTACTTACAATCTTCTGACATTAATTACTTTTTTACATCCGCAGGATATTTGATTATTTTGATCCTACACTTATGCCTTTTTCCCTTACAAATTCAATGGATAAAACTTAGTGACTTTAGTAATATAAAATTTTACTAATACAACGGAGGATATACTTGACTAGGGGGTGCAATTATTTTAAAAAAGTTATACCATCCCACTATTTTTTGGGTATTTTATAATATATAATCAAAATTAGATTTTTAAAGATCACTGCAATCATATCGGGTTTTTTTCGATACCGGTACTTTTCAGTTAATTTTCATTTTTTTTACTTTTATATCATTTCAAAAGACATCATTATTAAAGCATTTCTTTCACAAGTGTGTTCTTGAAGAATCACTTCAATTCTTCACCAAGAAGTCAAGAATTTAAAACCTTGTTGCCGTATGATTTGATCTGAAACTTTTAATAGTAGTCCTTGCATAAATTTGTTGTATAGTTTGATGGAGTATCTATTATAGTATTTTTAATTTTAAACCTATTTAATTAAGGGCTAACGAAAAAGAAAAACCCCAAAGTCATCCAGTTACCATAGGCCTAGGACCTAGTTTATATTTACGGAATTTTATACAAATTTCATAGTGTTCAGAGCTAATTAGATTGGAGTGCGCGCAGTCAAGCTACTGGTAGGCTATGGCTTCCTTTCAATTAGATTGAGCTTGAAATACGTAAATCCATGTTGATTTGAATGAATTGGTGGCAAATACCTAGTTGTTCTTTTTTTACCTACATTAGATACAATGCTTCGGCTTGACTAGTCGTATTTTCAGGTGTAGTACCATGCTAGTTAGGGATTGTATATGTTCCATGTTGTTGTGGCTTGATTTGTTGTTGTTACTTGTCATATATTTGAGCATGTTCGGCCTTAGACTATGATTAGACTAGTCTTTCCTTAGACTTGAGGTACTTGTGGCCTAATTGCCTTGCTTCTTCTATGACATCAATTTGGATAGACTAGATACTTGTAGACTCGAGTAGAAGACTTGAGTCTAATAGTATGAGCCTTAGTCTAGGCGTTTTCAATGATTTACAGGTCTTCTATCTTCTCTCTCTATTTTTGCCGCTACGGTGCATTACCAGAGGTTTTGTGCTATTGCGGCATCAAAGGATTGAATTTTCTAGGCTTGGAGCCTTCTGGTAAATTTTTGTGAGTGGACGTCATTCCAGGGTGGCCTGGTGTTGGTATTTGTGATATGCTTTGGAGTCGACACGCCCCCAGGTCACTCTTACTAGCTAGACAGCTTACGCCCATATGAGTGGACTGGCTTGCTAGGCGGCGTTGATATATGAGATTCTATTAGGAGTTGACACACCCTCATGTCACTCTTGCTAGTTGGGTGGTTTATGTCCCTCGGAGTGGACTGGCTGGTTGGGCGGCCTAGAATGAATATCACTCTTGCTAGCTTGGTTGGGAGTTGATTGGATTCTTAAGTATTTGAGGTTACTTGGGCTGGGCGCCCTATTTTTGGTTCATGGTACTCTTTTCTCAGTAGACTTAGCTATTGTGTGTACTTGTCAGGCGTATGGGGGTTCGGGGCTTATGGGGTCTAGTTAGGTTTAGTTTTGTTGTACTTTGATTTACTTTCGATATGGTCGTGTGCTTCCTTTCATATCCTCTTTGAGCTCAGTTTGTGTCTAGATTCTATCTTTTCATATTGTCTTTACCTTTTTTGCTCAGTCGACATATAATGCTTATTGAGTACCTTTGTTTTGGTACTCATACTACATCTGCATTTATTTTGTGAAGCAACTCCTAGTACCAGCTACTGACGATGATTGTTCGTGCCATCTTCAACAACTTTTGGGATCGAAGACGTGGGCGAGCACTTACCGTCTTGGATCAACCTCTCTCCCTGTGTACATATTTAGGTAGTTTTCTTACTTTTGAGACGGCTTTCTTGTGGTCCACTTTTGGGACTTGGTTGTTCATGTTAGATAACTCTGTACTTGTGACTTAGAGGTTCTAGGAGTGATCGTTTGTATGTAATTTTTGGTTGGCTTCCACTTTAGTCTCGTTTTGTTATTTTAAGTGTTATATATGTTAGTTCTACCCTTATAGAAATTATTTGTCGTTCTAGGCTATGGGTTCGCTCGCCTATTAATGGATTATAGCAGGTGTAGTGCCACCGTGACTAGAGAAATCGAGTCGTAACACCTTCCATTATGCCCATTACTTGCCATTTCTGCCTATAGATCGGCTTATCCACCAGTGGGTGTTTGTAGGTTCCATTCTTACTCGAGTTTTCAGATCGTGACATATTTTCTACATTTTTTTTTAATTTATACGATACATTTCTCAACTTTTCTTTTTATCATTCAAAATTTAAGTCAAAAATAAATTGAATTCCATAGACAGTAAGTTATTAATTCAAAAATAATTAAATTTTTGAAGATAGATACCATGTAGGTGCTGGAAAAAAAGAAGTAAAAAGTGAGTTTTAAATAAATATATTTATGAATAAAATAATATGTCGCAATGATTGAGATTACAAATTTTTTTAAAGCAAATATATGGAATATTACTTCTCTAAATCATGAATTAGACTGTAGATAGATACAAATTTATTATAAATTGTTGTAGATTTTATATAGTCATGTTGTCAATTGCATTAGAACAAAAAAGGAAAATAGATACATAAATAAATAAAAACGTAAAGAAAATAAATGAGCTACTAAAAGAGAGTGCAAAACTTGGTAAGCAAATCCAAGATGGAATCTTGTGCAATAGGATAGACTCAAATATTTGTTTAAATAATAATTAGAAAGTGCTCTCTTCAATTTTCTTGCTCATTTATTTAAGTTTGTGTTTTCCTTTCAACAAAAAGCATCTAAAACAATCAATTGTTATCAATTATTTTCTTGGGAAGAATCAATGGAGGTACAAAATAGCAAATTTTCTGTAAAAATCATAACTCTGGTGGTTGATGATGATGACAGTTGCCTTCTCATTATTTCTACTTTGCTCAAGCAGTCCAAATTCGAAGGTATTTAAATTCTCTTTTTCATTATTAAAATTTTTATGAGTGTTACGATCCAAAATATTGGACTGTGATGATAACCATCTCATTTCAAAGTAGGGTATTTTTGTGTTCTTTACATGTTACCATTTTTTTTGAGATATATGTAGATCTAGATTTATATAACATGATACCTTGAAATGAAGGGATTCTTGAATTAGAGCATTAGTGAAAACAATTCATGATAACCCCTAACTATAGATCAGATCCACCAGACAAGAACTCAATTCCGCACTGTTGCTGAGTCGTCGGACTTATCCACCAAGGGATTCATGGAATTTATGTGGATTGCGTTGGGGGAAATCTACCAAAGCTAGGAAGATAGATAGACTCATTTCCCACTGCTAAGGGTGAGCAAGAAAGAAAATCATATGATTGGTTTTTAACCAGCGCCCTCTTTTGGGTACGAAACTAATTTGAAACTTTGGAAATTTTCAAATAGTAAACTGAAACTATCAATCATATTAATATTACATCTATCTCCACATAGAAGTCTTGGAAAAGAAGCTATCTGAGAGGCAGAGGTTGACTATAAACTTCATCTCTCTCTGGACCTCAGGGAGTTTTTCCAGAGCTGAATTGTGTGTGCACTTCTGCCAGAGAAGAATCACATGTGTACTTGATGTATAACCTCAAGCACCATAGGTCAATTCCGATTTGGGGCCACCCCTGACTATACCATTATTATAGGGGTATGGGATTTGAGACAAAGAAAGATCAAAAAGTCCAAGCTACGGATAATACCCTTTTCAACAGTAAGTAAGCTCAAGAGCTAGGAGTTCGATGTCTAGGTTGAGGCTCTCTCATTGAAGTGTGACCGTAGATCTGGTCTTTCCTAGGAAAGAAAGCAGCTTGTGACACACAGATACAAAGATATATATATATATATGTATTTCATCTAAGTAGTTCATTTTATTTCTTCTTTTCCTCGTCGAATGATTTTGGAAATGTTTCTCTATGTATTAGCAATAATATATTTTTATACATTTATAATGATTGAATTTGCTTTGTTTTATTCAGTTATGATGGTGAAGAGCGCAAAAGATGCTTTGAGTGTCCTTCGGAGCAGCGACCTCTCATTCGATATTGTTATCATAGAAGTGCACATGCCTGAAATGAACGACTTTCAACTTCAACAAGAGATAGCCAAAGATTTATGCATTCCTGTTGTTTGTGAGTTTATAATTTTTTATATTCTTCACAAGACTAGAATTAGTTTCTTATTCATAACTTTTGGCTCCTGAAGATTCAAATAACATATTATACATGAAATAAGACTACTCGGGCATATTTAGCATTTCCTCCTAAGATAAAAGCTTTCCACCAAGCTTGTCACTTTTATAAACCTCTTCACTAATTACCTAGTAACTTTGAAAAATAAATTTCCACTAGGGTAAAGTAAAATAAAGGGAAGATGATCTGCCAAAGCCATGGAAAAAGTATTCACTACTGCTTACAACACCTTCATTCACTCGTCTTGCTACTTAGGAATTGTTCAGCGAACACGTAGAGTCGAACGTCTCTCTGTCCTACTCCTGGCTTAACCATCCTACGTGACCTCCTACTGGAATCAGACAGTGGAAAAAGAATGATAACTTTAGGCTTGACTAATAAAATATATAGGGCTTTTCCCTTTACTAGTAAGAGGCAAAGAGCATCAGCCTTTAGTCATCTATCTCGTTACCGTAAGAAAATTATCAATGATGATGAAAATAAATCAAAAATGTTTTACTAGGGATTATGCTAGAACATTCAAGCATCCCAATAAGAACTGATTGAACACATTGGAGTTAGCAATAATTATCACTACCCAAGTCCTAAGATTGCTAATAAACAAAATAGAATAATTAAGATACAAATATCAAGAATAATCAAAAGAGAACTTGACACTAATTAGAATAACATTCAATTATGACAACCATTTATTATTCATATAGATAGAAATAATAAAATCATACATGAACTAAATATAGCTATTTTGCAATTTAAGAGAGGTTGTAGAATATAATGAAATTAAACTTAATTAAAGATAATATAATTATCATAGAACTTCTACAAAAACTCCAATGACTATTCATATCTCCCTTATAGCTCATCATAACTAAAAACATAATATTACAGGTAAAAATGTTGATTTGTCAATAAAAAATAGGACCTCACAAGTAATGTCAATAGCTTTCATATTTATGATCAAAGGTCAAAATTTCTCAATGGTAAAATAAACATTTGAACCTGAAATACACAAATCAATTTCAATAAAGATCAAAATTCATATTCAAGATCCCTAACAATATAGAACAAGTTTCAATCACATTAAACATTTTCAATAAAAAGAATATATTTTAATTTTAGATTTCAAAACTCAATCCAAGTTCTTCAATAAAATTCAAAATTTCAGTTGGTATCGAGAGTGTTTTTCAATAAAAAGTGGTTCAAACAAAGTCACTAACCAATTCTCAGTTAAAGCCCACAATTAAATCTCGAATTTACCTATTTATTTTACAAAGATAAATTTATAACTGAAAAATTTAGAACATGAATATTTTTTAATAAAAGGAGGAAGAAACCTCTTACACAAATCACCTAGCTATGTTGTAATTAAAGAAATGTTTAATGAATAACTAAGCAAAACCTAATCCAAGCTAACATGAGTATTTCATGCTCTAAGAAAATATCTCCATCATTCATCAAATCGACTCTTTCAAGGAAACAAGGACATTTATGCTAAGCCTAGAAAAAGTAACAAAAATCTTAAACACTCCTAAGTTATGCATGTATGCACATTTCGTCTTCTTTTCTATTTATCTTGGTTTACTTGAAAGCTTGATTTTTATGACTTCTTTAAAATAGCATTGATTTAATATCAAAGTGAAAACCTTCCTTAGTATGAGCTAGTGCAAATTCTAAAATTTTCACTTATGTTTATATATTTTCTTGAAATTGTTTTGTTTTTTTTATAAAAAAATGTGTTTAAACTAAGGACTTTTATTCTCTCAATAAATATTTAAACAACTCTTGTTATCAGCTTTTAAAAGAACTATGAGAAAAAATGACTTTAATTAAAAATATCAGAAATATCCCATCAAACCTTAAACATTACAACATCAAAAAGTACACTAGACAATACTGAAAATATACCTAAATTGTTTAGGATAAATTCAAGAAACTATTTATTTTATAAAGGAGTGCTTTTGTGATTTTCTCATAACCCACTACAACAAATAAAGGAGTTCAGTAGCAATTATTTAGCGATAATTAGTAGTATAATTGTTTCTCTATTATATTTCGAAGAAATAATAAATATGGATTGTTATAACTAGCACTCTCTCTATATAAATGTCTCTAAAGACTTTAGTGAATCTGAATGCAATGACAGTAACTAATTGATGCTAAATATTTTTGTGGCAATAAACATTGTCTTTAAAAGAAAAATCTACTTACACTAATTGTATCTTTTATCATAGTAACCCCCTCCCTTTTATTTTATTTTTTATCAAAGTAAATGACTCAAATCGTTATTATTGAATGTGACCAGATTTATCAGGTGATGAAAATGATTTTACAGCTATTAAAGCACTTGAGAGTGGAGTTGTTTTCTTCATACTGAAGCCCATATCACAAGATGACATACATTATTTATGGGAATATGCAACATTGCGAAAGAAGAAGCATATAGGTAAACGAGTTGCTAAGAGGGACAAGTCTGCGCGAAAATATGATGAGACTAAAAATAAATATAGTTTAGTTCCACCAACAAAGAAGAGTAGGATTGCTTGGACAGATTCCCTTCATGAATTTTTTTTGGAAGCCATTACAACACTTGGCATGAGTAAGTTTTCCCCAACATATATAGCGTAAAATCTGATATCATTCAAAGATTATCTACATGTATGTGGCCTTAAAATATTTGATTTTATTTATGATTTTTTGTTGCAGGAGCTTATCCAAAGAAAATTGTTGAACTGATGGATGTTCCTGAATTGACTAGCAGACATCTCGCATATCATTTGAAGGTTTACTACTTTTAACTCAATATATGCTTAATCTACGGAATAAATTTTATCTATAGAAGAATAAATATTATATTTAGATGAAAAGAGAAAAAAAATACTAATTGAGTCTAGAGTTAATGGTGTTCTATCATTAAATAAATGAGCATAATGAGAAAGTTTCCTTTTATTTATAATAATTAAAACTCTAATATTTGTTACACACAAGTGAAAATAAAATTGATTCATAACTTTTTTAGCATATATTTTAAAGTCGGTAATATAAAATAGAGTTAATAAAAACAAAAATCTATTTATAATAAATTTTTAAAAGAATATTTATCTATATAGTAAAAGAATTTTAAATAATAATGTAGAAAACATTTCATCAATGACAATAAGAAAATAATTTATATAATAGATAACATACAATGAGAAAAAAGTGATATTTAAATATACACATAAGCATGCATGCATGCACATACATACATACATAAATATATGCATATACTTAATGCATAAAATCTAAAGTAAATTCATCAAGAAATTGTGTTAGATTTTATAACAATTTAATTGAAAGATTACTCTACTTATAATAATGAATTCATATAAAATTCTTATAAAATGTAAAATTATCTATTAGTGAAATACCAAGTTTAGAAATATAAAATATTAGATATAATATAAAAAAAAAAGTTACATAAATGAATGACTAAAATGGTAAGGATAAAATAGACATGACATGGAATAAGGTCGTGGAGTAGGGAGGGGGGGAAGTAAAAATGTCTATTAGTCAGAGTTAAATATAATTTTTAATTTTTAAATAAGATCTTGAAGTGTAAATGATTTTAAATCCATTAAAATATTACAATTTTTCTTAAATGGAACTCAAGCATTCCTATATGAGATATTGAGTATTAGTTTTAATTAAAAATCATCAAACTTGAAAGTTAATATTTATCTTAATTCATGCTTATGTTAGAAACTCTAAGATAGAACAAATATTAGAAGTTAGATGACCTTTCAATGAAAAATTACTTAAAGCAAATTGTTGCATCACTATTTTTCTTTATTATCAGAACATAGTATTCGAACTCATGTTCGCAAACTTTGCAGAAATATCGTATAAGCTCGGAAAAAGATACTGATCCAGAGTAGATTTTTGATTTGAGAAAAATCACATCTGATAATGCTAATCAATTGTCCACAAGAAAAGCAGATGACAGTATTCCAACTTCAACTACACAACTTATAATAGGAAATTTAAGCCCTATTGACTATGATATAAAGGTTGATCATCAAGACTTATGTCACGACCCGAGCCTACACCATATACGTGGCCGGCACTCGAAGACCATTGCTGGTCCCCAAGCGAACCCTCATCCTGGCTGACTACAAGCGAAAAACTGATTCAAGCATACAAAGCTTAAAAACTGAAATAAGAGTTTATAAAACTTACATTAAAACTTTAAGTCCAAAGAAAACTCTGTATAATAAAATATATACAACTCGCCATAAAAAGGCAACTTTAGTCTTTAAAACATTTAATAAAATAAATGATATAGACTTCTAAACTATACCCACGACATCCTTAAACTGAAAGGTAAATGAAATCCTCCGAAAGCAAGGAGGCTCACCATAGCTAACTCGACCTCTCGGATGTATCAACGAAGCTCCTGTTGATGATCCTGAATACCTGTGTCTGCATCATGAGAAGATGCAGCCCAAATGGCTCAGTACGTGGAATGTACGAGCATTTAAGAGAAATTCTAAAGCATAAACATAAGCTTGAAACTTGATAAAAAGAAACATCTTACCTTTTCTTAACTCACTCAACTAAAAGGAATACTCAAGGATACTCAAAACTACTTAAACTTACTCAACTCAAAAATACCCAAGGATAAGATACTCAACTCAGAGATTAGATACTCGACTTCAAAGATAAGATACTCGACTTGAAATACTCAACTCATGAATACTTAACTGAACTCATTTCAATATAAAGCAATTTAAAACAAGTGCAATATAAAGAACAAACGGTTTAAAAACATGTTGTCAACTCTATGTGTATGCAAAGATGTAACATAACTCTGAAATGTATGTAAAAATACAATAAAATGATGTATATAAAATACAATAACTTCTGTGGGAGTTTCTCTAACCGACAACCATCACATAAGACCTATAGTGATGATACATCGATCAATCTCACGCTGCCAGAGCATTCTATACCCGGCCAAAGGTATAGAACCTGAACTGCCTAATATATCCACTAGTCTATCTTGGAAAGGATTCATCTAAAAGTATGATCCTTTTCTACCCATGGTGCCTACATGGTTCTATGAGGGTTGTGGGTTCTTTGAACGCTCCCTCAATTCGGTGCTCAATACTACTCCAAAAATATACTATCTCTTATGTCTTTAAAACATACTTCTTCTGTGATTTAAGATTAGTGCTCAAACACTGAGCTCATAGGCTATCTTGGAAATCTCAGTTTCCTCTCTTGCTTTATTGTGAAAGCATTTACACTTTAACTGAAAACTAGACCAAACGCTCTTTACTCAAAAACTAGCTCAAATGTTCTTTTGAAAATCTCAGTTTTCCGTTCTTATTTAAACGTGAAAACATGTTAAACTCTTTTGGGAATACATAGTCCTCATATAATTTTGAAGAAATGAACTTCAACTTTAATCTTTACTTAACTCAAAATTTAAGTCTTAAAACAAAGATTAAACATTTGTAAAAGACTTCTTAAAATATGGTTCATACCGAATTATGGGCGTGAATGACTCAATGCAAGGTTTTCAATAACCATAGATAAAACTACAACACTTGGAACTCAAGAACTTCAATAATACTACTCACTTCAAGAATGCTCAACTTAGAAGGTTCAATGCGGAATTATGAGCATGAACTACTCAACTCAAAGACTCAAAGATACTTCTCATCTCAAGACTGTTTGAATTATAATGTTCATGCAGAATTGTGGTCATGAACAACTCAACTCATGGAGTTCATGGGTAATAGGTAATAGTCCCATGATTAGGATTATAATCTTAGAAGGGTTAGAAACTCAATACTTAAGGCTTAGGACATGAAAATATTACTCCTCTCATAGATACTCAACTTCTGAAGTTCATGCAGAATTTAATGGCATGAACGACTT